CACATGCCCCTCCCAGAACTCCAGGCAAGCCTTTACATATATATACATAAAACAGCTTGTTTGAGCAAACAAGCTGCTAATTACCCTAAACTGAGGGGAAAGTGGTACTCCAATCCAACAGTATGACATAATCGGGGGACAGACTTCTCAATACGGTGCATTATTTGCAGTGAAACAAAGGAAAGCTGGTTGAGGAACACGTGTGCATTGAACCTACCATGTTACATAGTTACATAGTTACATAGCTGAAAAGAGACTTGCGTCCATCAAGTTCAGCCTTCCTCACATTTGTTTTTTGCTGTTGATCCAAAAGAAGGCAAAAAAACCCAGTTTGAAGCACAATTTTGCAACAAGCTAGGAAAAAAATTCCTTCTTGACCCCAGAATGGCAGTCAGATTTATCCTTGGATCAAGCAGTTATTACCCTACATTGAAAGATTATATCCTTGAATATTCTGTTGTTGCAAGTATGCATCTAGTAGCTGTTTGAACATCTGTATGGACTCTGATAAAACCACTTCTTCAGGCAGAGAATTCCACATCCTTATTGTTCTTAGTAAAAAAACCTTTCCTTTGCTTTAGACAAAATCTTCTTTCTTCCAGTCTAAACGCATGGCCTTGTGTCCTATGTAAAGTCCGGTTTGTGAATAGATTTCCACACAATGGTTTGTATTGGCCCCAAATATATTTGTATAATGTTATCATATCCCCTCTCAGGCGACGTTTTTCTAAACTAAATAGGTTTAAATTTGTTAACCTTTCTTCATAGCTGATATGTTCCATTCCTTTTATTAATTTTGTAGCCCACCTCTGCACTTGTTCAAGTGCCATGATATCCTTCTTTAGAACAGGTGCCCAAAATTGCACAGCATATTTAATATGTGGTCTTACCAGTGATTTATAAAGAGGCAAAATTATATTCTCGTCCCGAGAATGAATGCCCTTTTTCATGCATGACAATACCTTACTGGCCTTGGCCACTGCTGATTGACATTGCACATTGTTGCATAGTTTGTTGTCTATAACAATTCCCAAGTCCTTTTCGTGTGTTGTTATCCCTAATTCACTTCCATTAAGGGTATACGTTGCTTGTGTATTCTTTACGCCAAAGTGCATAACTTTACATTTTTCAACATTAAATTTCATCTGCCATTTGAGTGCCCAGTCCTCCAGTCTATTTAAATCCCTCTGCAGCAAAGTAATATCTTGCTCACAAGCTTTGTGTCATCTGCAAACACTGAAACATGACTTTCAATGCTGTCTTCAAGATCATTTATAAACATGTTAAATAGAAGGGGTCCCAGAACAGACCCCTGAGGGACACCACTTGCCACCTCTGTCCATCTTGAAAATTTACCATTAACGACAACTCTTTGTATTCTATTTTTAAGCCAATGTTCTACCCAAGAACAAGCATTTTCATCTAGACCGATTTCCTTGAGTTTGAACACTAATCTTTTGTGTGGAACTGTATCAAATGCCTTGGCAAAATCCAAATAGATCACATCCACTGCAACACCCTGATCTATACTTCTACTTACTTCTTCGTAGAACGCAATCAAGTTAGTTTGACATGACCTGTGCTTCATAAAACCGTGCTGATTTTTGCTGATAACCATATTCTTCTCAAGGAATTCTTGAATATTATCCCTTAATAACCTTTCAAATATTTTACCAGCCACAGAAGTTAAGCTCACAGGTCTATAATTTCCAGGCAAGGATTTTGAACCCTTTTTGAATATAGGAACCACATCTGTCTTCCTCCAATCCTCCGGAACACTTCCTGAAAGAAAATAATCTTGAAAGATTAAAAACAGAGGTTCACTTATTTCTACACTTAGTTCCTTAAGTACATGTGGATGGATACCGTCAGGCCCTGGAGCTTTGTTTATATTAACTTTCTTTAGTTGCTGCAGCACCTTGTCTTGAGTTAACCAATTACAATTATTCTGCAAGTTTTTAGTAGCAATCATTTGCACATCTATTGCCATGGGTTCTTCCTTAATATATACGGAGGAGAAAAAGTTATTTAAAATTCCTGCCTTTTCCTGGTCTTCATTAATTAACACCCCCGTTTCAGTTTTTAGTGTACCTACACTTTCATTTTTGTTTTTTTTTAGAATTTATGTACTTAAAAAATGCTTTGGGGTTGGTTTTGCTCTCTTTAGCTATCATTATTTCATTTTGAAGTTTAGCAAGTCTAATTGCCTTTTTGCACGCATTATTTGCATCCTTATATCTTTTATAAGATGCATCTGATTTGTCCGATTTAAATGCTTTAAATGCCCTTTTCTTATTTTTAATATCTTGTTTTACTTCTCTACTAAGCCACATTGGTTTTAATTTGTTTCTTTTATATTTATTTCCCAATGGTACATACTGAGAAATGTACCTTTGTAATATTTGTTGGAAGATGATCCATTTATCCTCAGTGTTCTTTTCACTAAAGAGTTTATGCCAGTCAATATATTGTAAAGCTTCCCTAAACTTATTGAAATTGGTCTTTTTAAAATTATATGTTTTGGTATTCCCCATGTGCTTTTGTTTTTTTGAGTTTATTTCAAAGGACACTATATTGTGATCACTATTTCCCAAATGCTCACCTACTTGAATGTTGGTCAAAAGATCAACGTTGTTTGTTAAAACCAGGTCCAGACAAGCGTCCATTCTAGTTGGTGCTTGTACAAGTTGTGACATGAAGGTGTCATTTAACAAGTTTAAAAACCTAATTCCCTTTGCTGAGGCACTAGTCCCTATGTCCCAATTTATGTCCGGGTAATTAAAATCTCCAATAATTAAAGTGTTACCTAAATTTGCAGCTTTCTCAATTTGCTCAAACAGATGTTGTTCCTCGTCAATATTAACATTAGGTGGTTTATAACATATCCCAACCAATAGTTGGTTTCCCTTCTTTTCCCCCAAGCAGATATTTACCCATAAAACTTCCACATTTTCCTCATCGCATTCCATTTGCTTAAGATTTGGCTTTAAATCATGGTTGACATACAAACATACCCCACCACCCTTCCTGTTTTTCCTATCCTTCCTAAATAACATGTACCCATTTAAGTTAACTGCCCAGTCATGTGTCTCATCCCACCATGTTTCAGTTATGCCTATTATATCATATTGTTTAGTGTATGCTAATGCCTCTAGTTCCCCCATTTTGTTATTTAGGCTCCTTGCATTAGTAAGCATACATTTAATATCATGCGTCTCTTGTATATTTTGTGAATAGCCAACATTACACAGCTTCTCTGTTCTGAGCTTGCCCCTCCCCCCGTCTCCACCCCCCTTATACTGTGCTAAAGCCCATCTCCATTTTGTAGATTGCTATGACCCTCCCCCCCTACTACAAGTTTAAAATCTCCTCCAACCTTCTAGCCATCCTATCCACCAGCACTCCAGACCCTCTTCCGTTTAGGTGCAATCCATCACCACTATAAAGGTTGTACCCAATCGCAAAGTCGGCCCAGTGCTCTAAAAACCCAAAACCCTCCTTCCTGCACCAAGACTTCAGCCACGCACCTCTCTAATCTCCTGCTGCCTTTCCACTGTAGCACGTGGCACAGGTAATATCTCAGAGAATACCACTTTGGAGGTCCTTTTCTTGAGTTTGCTACCTAATTCCCTGAAATCATTCTTTAGGACCTTCCATCTTCCTCTTACTTTGTCATTGGTACCAACATGGACCATGACCGCTGGGTCATCCCCAGCCCCTCCCAATAATCCATCCACTCTGTCAGCAACATGCCGGACCCGAGCACCCGGGAGACAGCAAACTGTCCGGTTGAGCCGATCAGAGCGGCAGATTGCCCTATCTGCTCTCCTAATGATAGAGTCCCCTACCACCACAACCTGTCTTACCTTCCTTACATTTTGATCCCCACCCGTACTAGGGGGCTGTTACCTCGGCTGTTAGAAGTAACAGCTTCCTCTAATACAGCTACTCCTGAGCTGATGCTCCCAACATCTTCCCTCAAACGGGCAAATCTGCTAGGTTGCACCAAATCAGGACTAGCTAGCCCTTTCCTCTTCCCTCCCCCCCTGCTTCCTCGCCCCACTGTCACCCAGCTACATGCCTGTTCCCCATCTGTCTTATCTCCTCCCTCTCCACTACCTGTCCCCACTAAACTCTGCTCAGTGAGCAGTAGACTCCTCTCAAGATTGTCAATCTCCCTCAATGTTGCGATTTGCTTCTCGAGATCTCCAATCTGAGCTTCCAGAGAAGCCACTCGCACACAACCATCACAGAGGTATGGACCCTGGACGGGTACATCCAGGCATCCATACATGCAACAAGATGTGCATTGAGTTAAACCAGCAATCTTGCTAACACTCATTTCCCCAGGTATAAAAAAAATAAACAATAACCGTATTAGCTTAAACCCCTAGTTAGTTTTAACTCCTGGTTTTCTAACTCCTACTTAATAGAGGCTGCTTTCAAGTAATGTGAGCAAGCTCAGTGAGTTAGGGGTGTGCCTTTATGGGGATACAAATCCCACACAGGTGCAATTAATGAACACTCCCCCCAATCAATCAAGCAGCAGCACAAAAGAGGGGGAAAACCAGAACACAGAAAAAAAAAGAAAAAAAATTTAAAAAACAATTTTTTTTTTTTTTTTAAACTTTACCAACTGAACCAATTAACCCCTTAACTCCGGAGGACGTACTATTACGCCTGCAGGAGCCGGCTCTAAACGCCGGGGGCGTAATAGTACACCCTCGCTATAATGGCCTCCCCTGTGGCCGGTGACTGCGATCTGCAGTCCCCATGGGGTCAGTGACCGCGATCTGCACTGTCTGAGATCGCAGTGACAGGCTGTCACTGCGATCTCAGAGCGCTCTGATCGCAGTGACAGCCTGTCACTGCGATCATTGTTACATGTGTCAGCCTAATGGCTGACACATGTAACAGACGCAATGATCCCCCTGCAGATTGGTAGGGGGGAGTGCTTGTACCACCCAGGCACTCCCCCTGTGGTCAATTACCCAATCTGCAGGAGGTGATCACAGTGACAGGCAGTCACTGTGATCACTGATCCTGTGTGTCAGCCAGTGATGTGAAATCACTGTCTGACACTGTCTCTGCCCCTCTCCAGTAATAAAAATAAAATATTAGTTAAAAAAAAAATACAGTTACAAATAAAATATACTTAGATCATATCTATTATATATATATATACACACACACACACACACACACACACACATTTACACATACATGAAGTGTATTTAATTATTAATATATATAATTATTTATATATACATATATATTACTATCAAATTACACGTAGACTGATACTGATTATATATATATATATATATATCTATATATATATAATTATTGTTATATATATATATATATTTATATATAATATAAAAAAATGTAAATACGTAAAAAAAATAAAATTAAAAAATAATTAAAAATAAATAATTAAAAAATATATAGATGTTTGTTATTTAGTTCTAACTGTATTGTGATATTAATATATATATATATATTTATATCAAAATACACGTAGAACGAAATAATATATATATCTATATACATAAATATATACGTATATATCACTATATATATATATATATATATATATACCTATATATAAATAAAAATATTTAAAAAAATTAAATATATATAAAGAAAAAGTGAACTTGGCACTCACCCTTTGTTGAAAAATATCAAAAGATTCTTGCCTGGGTGCCCACCTCTGGCATTGATAAATACGAAGAATATGTATAAGGTGCACTCATAGGTCTTTAAATAAGTGATAAGTTTATTCCAACGTGCAAATTACATATGCCACAAAATTTATGATGATCGACGTTTCGACCCACAATCTTGAAAAAGGCCCTTTGTGGGTCGAAACGTCGATCATCATAAATTTTGTGGCATATGTAATTTGCACGTTGGAATAAACTTATCACTTATTTAAAGACCTATGAGTGCACCTTATACATATTCTTCGTATATATATATATATATATATATATATATATATATATATATATATATATATATATATATATATATATATATATATATATACACACGTATATACATATATGTATATATATATATATATATATATATTAATTCTACACATATATTTATGTAATATTTTTACATAATTAGGTATCCTAATTAATTACAATTAGTGGGACCTGCCTGACAACCCATGCCGAAAGTATATGGAATTTAATTTGCTAGCACTATATTTAACCCTATAACTGTCCAAGACACCATAAAACCTGTACATGGGGGGTACTGTTTTACTCGGGAGACTTCGCTGAACACAAATATTAGTGTTTCAAAACAGTAAAATGTATTACAACGATGATATCGCCAGTAAAAGTGAAGTTTTTTGCATTTTTCACGCACAAACAGCACTTACACGGACGATATTATTGCTGTGATACTTTTACTGTTTTGAAATATTTGTGTTCAGCGAAGTCTCCCGAGTACAACAGTACCCCTCATGTACAGGTTTTATGGTGTTTTCAATAGTTACAGCGTCAAATATAAGGCTTGCGTTTCATTTTTTTCACATTAAAATTCGCCAGATTGCTTACGTTGCCTTTGTGACCCTATGGTAGCCCAAGAATGAAAATTACCCATATGATGGCATACCATTTGCAATAGTAAACAACCCAAGGTATTGCAAATGGGGTATGTCCAGTCGTTTTTTAGTAGCCACTTAGTCACAAACACTGGCCAAAATTGGACCAAATGGCTACTAAAAAAGACTGGACATACCCCATTTGCAATACCTTGGGTTGTTTACTATTGCAAATGGTATGCCATTATGGGTGTAAATTTAATTCCTGGGCTACTATACAGTCTCAAAGGCAACGTAACCAATCTGGCGAATTTCAATTTCAAATGTAACGTGCCATATTTGACCCTGTAACTTCCCAAAACGCCATAAAACCTGTACATAGGGGGTACTGTTTTACACGTGAGACTTTACTGAATACAAATATGTGTATTTTATTGCAGTAAAAGCAAACAGTATTATGAGATTGACAGTTAAAATGTCATGTAGAACTAAAAAAATAACAAAATTTCTTATTTTCTCCCATTTATTTCATATTAAATTATGTTTCATAGCTAAATATTTGATGCTAAATGAAAGCCCTGTTTCCCCTGAATAAAATGATATATAATAAGGGTGGGTGCATTTAATATGAAAGAGGTGAATTACGGTTGGACAGACATGTAGCGCAAATGCCAGGTTTTACGTTTTGTTTTGTTCACAACGTGTACATTTGGCTCCGTCCTTAAGGGGTTACACAAAAATAAAATACAAACCACTCCAAGTAACTCCTGGTTTTCTAACTCCTACTTGAAAGAGTCTACTTAATAGATTCTGCTTTCAAGTAATGTTGCCATTGTCTACTACTTTTAGCTTAATGGTGCTTGTAGGAGCAAGTGAAGAAGCAAGCAGCTGAAGGGAGAATAGCGATTAGAAGATTGTTTTTTTTTTTTTCCTCTTGAGTTGAGTCTTGTGATGTGGCTACACCTGCTGCCTAAGCAGATACAGTTGGTAGAAGCTGATGATAGGGCACTGTGTTTTTCCCACACTAGAAGACGGTCACTGATGCTACATACTGGATGTCTGAGAAAATGTTGTTTTTCTTAGGGTGGAAGGAGTGAGTGGGTCATCCACTACCCACTGAATTTTCATTTTCAGTCTTTTAATAAATCCCCAATTTTGAGCTCAAAATGAGTCCTGCAACCCATTTTTCATTTATACAAGACTGCAAAAGGAAAAATATCAATCATTCTAAATAGTTATTTTATGTCCCATTTGTTTTATCCAGATTTATAATAATGTAATTTGTCAACTCAGAATTGCCTTTACAAAAATGGCTGATATTGCGTAGCCATCAAGCCGAGTAATATTGTAGCCGTTTTTATCAGCACAATCATAATCACCTTTTAACCCTAAGTTTTCACTGCTCTAATGACCTTCACAATTTTGTTCCGTGCTGAAATTCAGCCAAGCCAAACATGAACTATATTCTGCCGACAGCTCTCCCACAACAATACCAGTGTTCAGAAGAAACAAAACTTTTATTCTTTTTGATTTTTTTTGTACTATATATCTTTAAATAGATAAAGGATTCAGTCACAGGTATTTTGCGGTAGCTTGGGACGGACTCCAGTTTAATGTGAAAACAATATTACATGATGGTATTCAATCAACATTTCGACCCCAGAGGGACTCTTTTTTTAAACAACAATAACAGCCAAAAAATCAGTCACTATATAGTAGTGATGTCCCAGACGGTTCGCCAGCACAATCAGATATTAATGGGACTACCAAATTGTCTTACGTGCTAAAATGGGAGGAAGAATTGGAAATAAGCTTACCAATGACAGAGTGGGAAACGGCCATAAAATACACCAACAATCCTGAAAATGTGTCACGCACTGGGAAGCGTATTTCAAAATACTGATAAGATGGTACATGACCCCTAACAGACTCGGCAAAATATATCCTGGCTTAATTTCAAACTGCTGGAGATGTACAAAGTAGAAGAGCACTTTGAAACACATATTCTGGGAATGCACAAATCTACAAACCTATTGGCTACACCTACAACAACTAATTTACACAATCAGCGGACTAACACTCCCACTTTTACCAGCTTCTTATCTTTTACATTTAATTCCTGATCTGGGAAATATACCCTCAAGAGCAGCAGTGCTAAATATTCTTTTGGCAGCTAAAACTAGCTTAGCCGCCCATTGGAAAAGTGATTCCGTTCCCACCATTCCAGAAGTAATAAACAGAGTCAATGCCACATTCAACCGTGAAAAAGAATGGGCAAAGAGAGGGGATATGCTCAAGTTCCTAGATCATTGGAACAACTGGGAATCTTTCACACTAACTAACCATTGACCCCATATATTTACACGGTCATTCAAAATATATATCAATGTACTTACTGATTTTGGCAAATAACCATGGGACCCAACTCTGTTCCCCCCTATACCCCTCCCCACACACCCTACTTATATCTACTACCTGTCAGACATCATTGTTAAGCAATTCTTTAACCCATCCCCAATTTCCAAGTTGGCAAGTAATATGTCAGGCATCAAAGATAACAAGAGAATAGAACCGTTCAACTAGTGTGGGTTGCATATAGAATCTGAATGTACAAAACTTACCCTCTATGAAATTTCATTATAACCTAAGGTCACACACACAATCGACAATAGGGTATTTGGTCATCAGACCATATCAGTGACGAATTGATAAAGAGTTATGACCTTAAAAATAGGTTCTTAAGTATAGAAGCATATAATGGTTTAGCTTATGTCAAACACCCACGCATCTTGTAAGACCAAACTTTTGATAACAGAAGCGTATATCTGCAAATACAACTAGTTAAGTACTTTAATGTAATTATGCTTCCCAGTATAACAGAGTTATCTACTGTCAGTGACGTATTGTGATTGCAAAAATCCCTTATGATGTTTGTCGTTATACATATATAACAATAAAAATGATATATTGAAAAAAAAATGATACTCTGTTTGGTTAAGGAATCCTCGGCATTCTTGAATATTACCATCAAAATGCAGGGGAGGAGATAGAGAGACAGTAGGTGCCTTGTGTAGTATAGGTGGAGGTACACTAAGCGGAGGTGAGACAGTAAGAGAAGCCGCAGGTTGCAGATGCGCTGTTCGGGTGAGAAGCGTATTGAAGGCCTGGGCAAATTGATCCATGCGGTGATCATTCTCCTCTAGTTTCCTTTCGCAAGCAGCTATGTGCTGACACAATTATACGGCCACGTCGTAATGTCAGGATTACTATATGATCCAGCACGTAGTATTGTGTCACACAGATGACTAATGGGTAACGTATTACCGGACCTTAGAATGGCCGGACTAACATACTAAAGAATAGTCAGGATAATAGTCGAGGTCAGGGGACACAGAAAGAGACACAATGATAAAGGAAAGCCAGAGGTCAGGGATACCAGAATACAGGGAAGTCAAAATCAAAGCCAAAGTCAAAAACCAGAATAAACTTGAATCAGGAACGCGCTCTGACAACCACTAGGGAAACCACGACAGGGCAATGATTTACCTTTCTGATTGGCCGAGATCGCTCTTTGACCCCAAAACGTGCGTCGTCAATCACGTCTGTGGATGTGGGAGTATAATTAGCCATGGCTCCGCAGTGGCCGGCGTCCATTAACATGCCGCAAGTGTTAGTCATGCAGAAGCACGTCCACTGACCGCAAGATGAGGAAGAATATGTTACACATGACACTCCCCATAGGCACATTAGAATGCCCCAACCTGCTATCAGTTTCCAATGACCCTCTCATGGTTGACACCCTGATTGACAAAGAAGTACACAAAGGATTCATGATGGGTCCATTTTCCTCCCCTCCTTTTTAATTGTGGCGTACGAATCCCATTGGGTATTGATTTTAGCAAATACTCCAATAAAAAACTTATGATCAAACTTATGATTATGTGGCAAACGTGCCTATGAAACAAGCTCCTGGAGGAGCCTGCTAGCTAGCCTCCTGCCAAAGGACTGTGGACCATGTCCATAACCCTGTTCAGGAATTAGCCTGCCTGGCCTCCCCAAGAGACTTTTCCCCGATTCCCCTGGTTCAGCACTTTCCCTCTCTTTGCATTCAGCCGAACGCTGGCTCCATTGTGGCCATTCGCACGGACCAAAACTGCGAACAGACTTCAGGGGTACTTAGCCGCAATCGCCTGGAACTATTTTTGGGATGAGTACTTTGCAGTTCCTGGTCGGTCCCCAGCGGTACTTAGCCGCGATTGTTATGGAACTATTTTCGGCTAGGGGAGTGTGCGGTTCAACTTGGTCTGGTAATTTCAACCACTTTGCACACCGCCAGGAGAGCGCTTTTTGGAGGGAAGGTACCTGAGACTGCCTGAGAGCCAGGCAGAGAACCCAGTAGTTAACATACCAGAGCCCCAGGAAGAGACCGCAAGACCCCTGCCAAGCTCTGGCAGCTAGAGGCTGGAGTGCTGCTGGTGTCCAGGTGAGAGCTAGGAAACTTGACAGAGGTACCCAGCCAGGGTACCAGGTGGTCCATCACAGTAGCCTTATCTGCTCCTCATTTGTCAATCACCCCAAACTTAAATTCCCTCATTCCATCCTTTGAATTTTCTCTACACTATGCCACTGTAGATAATGCCAGACAAGCAATCTTAAAAGCTGGTAGAGCTGTGTGGTTAAGTAAAACAGATGTCACCAATGCTTTTAAGTTGCTACCTATTCATCCCTCTTTATGGCATATTCATGGTATTACGTGGAGAAAAAAATATTATTTTGCTACTAGACTCACGTTGTGCGCTAAAAGTATTCCAAACATCTTTGACACATTTCCCGAGACTTTATGCTGGCTTCTCCTCAACATTGCCAGCTGCCCCACAGTGATACATTATTTGGACAATTTTCTGTTGGTGGAAGATAGTAGAAACACACCCCTGAGCTTAAAGAGCACAACTGCACTATTTTCTATACTTGCCATTCCATTTTCACCCGACAAGACCAATTAATGCAGTCATATCTTCCTGAGGATAAACTCCATTGTATTTGCGAAGAATTAGACAAGTTCCTGAATTTACAAGTTTGTACGCGCAAGGATCTTCGATCTTTACTGGGTTCCTTGAACTTTGTGATGTGCGTTATTCCACAAGGAAGATCATTTCTATCCAGACTGCTATGCCTCCTACAAGGCCTCTTAGACATCAGCATTATTTGTCTAGACCCACCTGCTAGGGCAGACCTGACCATGTTGCAAGATTTCCTTGCACACTGGAATGATATATCAATGTTTATTCCCCCAGTGTCCGACCAATCTCCGGTTTTCTGGACTGATGCAGCTGCTAACACTGGGTTTGCTGCAATTTATAACTACTATTGGTTAAGGAACAACTGGCCTAAAGAAACAATGGAGTTAACTTCCTTTCTGAAAAATTTGGCTTTATTCTAAATTTACCCCATAGTGGGGAAATCGTTGGTCCTGTATGGCTGTCAAATGTTATACAGACAACATGGTAGCTTGCAAAATAATCAATAAGGGTCGGTCATCATCCCTGACCATTATGAAATTGATTTGAAGGTTGACTTGGTTAGCAGCCACTTACAAGTTTTTCCTTGTCTGTGCGCATGTACCAGGTTGCAATAATTCTGCTGCTGATGCATTGTCCTGTTGTAAATTGCAGGAATTCTTCCTTCAACATTCTACTTCCAATAGATACCCAAACTGCACCTCGAATTCCACAGTCTAATCCTGGATTGACCAGATTATTGGCCCACGGCAGAACATATCACAAGTGGCCTTATCCACAAATACTCTAAAAACATACAACAGAGCAACAATGACCATTTCAATCAGTTCTCAGTGGAATTTAACACTTTTTCTGTTCAAATCATGGTAGCTTTTTCCGTAATTTTCCACCTTCACCTCAAACTATCATACAATACCACCAAATTTTATTTAACAGGTGTATAACATTTCATAATGACCACCATGCTAATCACAACCCTTTCCTATCCTCATATCCGATAAAAAAAACATTCTAAATGGCATCAATAAAGTTGATGTAGGGTAATAACTGCTTGATCCAAGGATAAATCTGACTGCCATTCTGGGGTCAAGAAGGAATTTGTTTCCTAGCTTGTTGCAAAATTGTGCTTCAAACTGGGTTTTTTTGCCTTCTTTTGGATCAACAGCAAAAAACAAATGTGAGGAAGGCTGAATTTGATGGACGCACGCAAGTCTCTTTTCAGCTATGTAACTATGTACTATGTACTATAATAAAGTAGAACATCCCACTACTCAGAAATGGTTACCTATAGACAGAAAAAAAATCTGAGCCTTATCAAATATTCTGGACACCTAACCATTCGACCCTTGAACAAATATGGTCATAAAAACGGCTATTTATATTGCCTTCTACAGGTTTTCAAGACCTACAGAGTTCGTGGTTGTAGCCATTTGTGTCTCATCATCAAAGACATAAAAAAGTAAAAAATCATTATATACTATTATTAAGACATTCCAAATCTAACCATCCTTTAGAAATCCCCTTCTACCCTACCAAGAATAATTGATGCCCTGTTAAAGTCCTGGACGCATATCTACACAACATCAGAGACAAATCACCAGAGGTACCACTACTCACACTACAAGGTTGGGCAGACTAGATAGGCCGAATGGTTCTTATCTGCCGTCACATTCTATGTTTCTATGTCCTCTCACCACTCCTAAATTCATGTTCTATGTCAGAACTCTATGCATTAGATTTGGTTTTAATCCAGCCTCATACTCAGGACACTCATTTAGAATCGGAACTGCATAAACTGCATCCAGTACCAACACACCTGTTCATATCATTATAAGATTAGGTAATTGGAAATCAGCTGTATGTAATGGGTATATTCCTCAACCAGAGAAAGAATTAAGGAAAGGATTTAAAAATCTTGTATTGTAAACATAAGCAATAATGTTTTTTTTTGTTTTTTTTCTGCATTCCTTTTTGCCCTCTTTTATTACAGGCCTACCAGTACATCGGTTTCGGCTACCACTACCGACTTGTTCCATTAATAAGGTTATTACATGGCTTAAATGTTACCGACTACAAGTTTAACCCCTTAAGGACACATGACATGTGTGACATGTCATGATTCCCTTTTATTCCAGAAGTTTGGTCCTTAAGAGGTTAAAGGCCAAAGGCCTGTATTTGTGGGAGGAGTTAGCATTCCTATAAAAACCCAATACACCCTGCTTACCCTTGCCATGCCGTTCAGTTCATCCCATCCACCTCACCCTTCTCCTTTACATTCATTCTACCTGGGGAGCCCTCTTATATTACAGGCCTACCCTTTCGTTGGTAATGGCACAAAACTACTGACTTGTTGCATTGGTTATTGCATGGTTATTGGGCGAATTAAGTGAGCCCTGCCCAGAGTTAAGATGCTGTAATAAATCTAAATAGCATTTTACTTTAAAACACTTGGTAAAAGTATGGCATTTTTGTAAATTGAGTAGTAAAGAGTATATGACTAATAATTAATATGTGACTGGTTAAATGATCTTTAGAGATGTTGGAAACAGGAATTTGATTAGAAAGATCAAATTGCAAAAAATATATGCCTGTCACATATTTTATTTCTGTCCTTAGAACAAAAAAAAGGCCAGGACTTACAAGGAACATCACATAAATCAAAACATCCACCACGATCCACAAAATCTGAACTGGTACGTCAGTTTTTCTCTTCAACTACAGAGCTATATTATGTGCATTATATATTTTATATGCTAATATCTATTTGTAGCTTTTTGTTCTTAAATAAACACTTCAAACACTATAACCACTAAAGCCTTCTGCTACTGTTTAAAGGGACACTATAGTCGCCTGAACAACTTTAGCTTAATGAAGCAGTTTTGGTGTATAGAACATGCCCCTGCAGCATCACTGCTCAATCCTCTGCCATTTAGGAGTTAAATCCCTTTGTTTATGAACCCTAGTCACACCTCCCTGCATGTGACTTGCACAGCCTTCCATAAACACTTCCTGTAAAGAGAGCCCTATTTATGCTTTCTTTATTGCAAGTTCTGTTTTATTAAGATTTTCTTATCCCCTGGTATGTTAATAGCTTGCTAGACCCTGCAAGGGCCTCCTGTATGTGATTAAAGTTCAATTTAGAGATTAAGATACAATTATTTAAGGTAAATTACATCTGTTTGAAAGTGAAACCAGTTTTTTTTTTTCATGCAGGCTGTCAATCATAGCCAGGGGAGGTGTGGCTAGGGCTGCATAAACAGAAACAAAGTGATTTAACTCCTAAATGACAGTGAATTGAGCAGTGAAATTGCAGGGGAATGATCTATACACTAAAACTGCTTTATTTAGCTAAAGTAATTTAGGTGACTATAGTGTTCCTTTAAGAAGTCAGTTTGTTTAAGAACAGTTTGATGGCTGGCTAGCAAGTGCTGCCCCATGGTTTCCTGCTTCCAGATTTTGCTGAAATAAAAACACAGTTAACTCCACTATGCTATACAGGGCATTTCAGGGCACCTCTTATTGGTTGAGAGGATCTGCTAAACAATTTCAGTCAATGAGCACAGTTGTGTATTGCAGGGCACCCAACAAGCAATGATATATAGAAAAAATAGGAGTAATAAAGTGCATATACAGAACAGTGTCACTTTCCCCTACAAAGCATACCACAGTCAGTTTGCCCATTGAACATTTGCCAAGCCAGCCATTAAAGGAACACTATAGGGTCCGGAACACAAACATGTATTCCTGACCCTATAGTGTTAAAACCACCTGTTAGGTGGCTTGCCCCTCCCCCCCCTCCCTTAGCCCTCTTAGAAGGGGTTAAAAAATATCTTATTTCCGTCAGTACTGGCCCTGCCTGATCCACCTCTTTGTGACATCATCAGAATTTAAGATTTTTAGCCAATCCAATGCTTTCCCTATTGATGAGTGACCACTAGAGGTGTCCCTAGTGTTCAATGTAAACACTGCTTTTTCTCTGTAAAGGCAGATTGCATGAAAATGTCTGAAGGGAATGATTATACTTAACAGAACAAACAGCTGTAGTTGTTCTGGTGACTATAGTGTCCCTTTAATTAATACCACAGTCAGTGTGCTCATTAATAAATACCAGTAGCTTGTCTGTGTGTTCAGACCAGTCCTTCTATCCTTCACTGCCCTCGTCCATCAATAAGCCTTGTGTGCTCATGACCTTGATGCTGCTTCACTGGTTGTCCTTCCTTGCAACGAGACAGGTGGTGAGCCTGTGTATGGGGTGTTTGACAGTATGTGTTTGAGGGGGGAGGTGACTATGTGTATGTGTGGGGGGAAGGTAACTGAGTGCGTGGGGGGGTTGACAGTTTGTGTTTGTGGGGGAGAGACAGTATGTGTGTGGGGAGGTGACAGTATGTGGCCATGAATTGGGTCAGTGGGTAGACTGTGACCTGACCACTTCCCATTGTATAAATGTTAAGCCCTCAACCAATGCCCAGGGATGGAGGCACAGGAGGGACCTGTGTCAGCCACCCCTTTCACCCTATTTTTTATAGACCCCATCGCTAGTACTTTAACCAAAGCCAACCAGAATTTTTATGTAAATCTAAAAATTGCCATTAATTTTCACCAAATTGTGTCCATCTGGACAAAATCAGGTATTGAGGAAATAAACCCCTCAATAATCTCAGCTACTGAAGCATACAGTCCCAAGTATATTAAAAAAAGGTGCTTTGCAAATATTCTGGATTCTATAATTTGTACAGGTTTCAGATGCTTTAAGCATTGATTTCAAATCTGATCTCGAATGCATCCAGCCGAATTATGTAGATGCCTTGCCTTGACCAAATTAAAGGATTTAGAATTGGCTTTAGTGAATATGAAGATTATAATATTGGACACTGAATTTTGTTTTAGAATTTTTGACAAAATTTAGTTTAGTGAATAACCTGACAGTGTCATATTCCTGCATTTGTAGCTTCACAGGGCTTCTTCTGCACTTGGAAAACACTGAATAAAGTAATGTGCTGGGGGGCTTGGAAGTGGAAGTCCTAAATCCACCAATGACCAGACATATAGATTTGGGACTAAACGGCCCCACATTCAAGGTTGTAGACCTCTAAGCAATTAACCTGCTTGCAAATAATTCCTAATTTAAATTTTATTTTAGCCAGTTACCAGTGAGTCACCAGTCACCTCCTTCCTAAAGCACCGGATTATTATCTTCTCGAGGTGCCAAGAGAGCTATTACCAGTGGTTGAGGAATAAGCTGAAGGACAAAGAATTTGGCAATTTGGTGGATGAAGTCTGTGCTGTAAATATTACAAATATATATTCAGAGTTTATTAAAGAGATCCCGAAGTGCACGTTTGCTATTTTGTATCACACTACTAAATTTGGACGTGTAAATATTACTAATGTCACAGACGCATTGTATGACAAGGAGCTACAGGATCTATCGCATCATCTTGGTGAGAAGATATATAATATATTAACCAGTTAATGTATCAATCATATAATTTAAATGCATGCTATGTTTAACAGTGACCAAAAGTTTCCTAATTTACTGTTTTATTTTTTATTTATTAATTTATTTTCAAAGTTTAATTTTATTGTTTTTATGGGAACTTTATTAAGTTTGTGTGCATATATATGCAATATATACACACAGACATACAGACAGACATTAAAAATACGCACACAGACAGACATACAGAAACACAGACAGACATACACACACATACAGACACACACACACACACATACAGACATACATACGCACACATACAGACACACATACAGATATACACACACTCACAGAAACACAGACAGACACACACAAATACAGACACACAGACAGACAGACACACACACACAGCAAGACATACAGACAAACATACACACACCCACATACAGACACACGTGCATTTCCCTGGGGTCCAGTGGTGGCTCAGGCTGATGGGAGTCAGAGTTCCCACTCTGACTCCCTCTCCTTCCTCCTGCCTGGCTCCCTGTGGTTGCTGGGAGGAAGTGTCCGGGGCAGTCACTTCCTCCCAGCCTCTGACCTCATCAGAGGGGGCCCGGTTGCAATGTTAAAGCGCTGACCGGGCCCCCTGGAATTACATAGCATCAGGTGGCCATAACAGCATGGGCCACCCGATGGACCCCGTCAATGCGGCCCCGGCAGTTACACCGCGTGGACCGGGGCAGCATTACTCAGCTGGCGGGACCCGCGGTCTCAGGGGTCCGCAGGGCAGCCAGGCCCCCTGAAGTGATAGGCCCAGTCGCAACTGCGACCCCGGTAGTTCCTCCACTGTTCCTGTACCCGGCCGGACTGAAAGGAAGTGCTCACTAAAAGAGTACCTTCTGTCAGTCCGGCCAGGTACAGGAGACTGAATCTCCTGTACCGCGATGCGCACTGCTCCGCTTGGCCACGCTACCAGGAGACGCACTGGGGAGCGGGGACCAAGGAGGAGAGAGACACACTGGGGACCAAGGAGGGGAGAGAGGGAGGGGCACTAAGGGATGGGGGGACGCTATGGGATGGGGGGATGTTAAGGATCACTATGGGACGGGGGTGGTGGAACACTATGGGAAAGGGGGTGGGGGTGGTAAGGAACACTATGTAAGAGGGGTGGTAAGGAACACTATGGGACAGGGGAGGGGCAGGAAAGTAAACTATAGGATACGGAAGGGGGTGAAAAACACTATGGGACAGGGGAGGGGGGAAAAGAAAACTATGGGATATGGAAAGGGGGTGAAAAACACTATGGGACAGGGAAGGGGGGTGAAAAATACTATGGGACAGGAGAGGGGGTGAAGAACACTATGGGATCTAGGAGGGGGAGAAAGAACACTAGGGGTGATAGAGGAACATTAAGGGAGGACACTAAGATACATGGGAGCGAAGGGAAAAGGAACATTAAGGGGAATGGGCGTGGCACTAAGAGACAGGTAAGGGGTGATGGGAGGGAATTCCTACCGCACATATTTACACATAAACACACTGCATCCACTACAAACACACACACAGAGACACACACACACACACACTGCATCCACTACACAAACACATTGCATCCACTACTCACACTGCATCCACTACACAGACAAGTACACTGCATTCACTACACAAACACACACACTGCATCCACTACACAAACACACACACTGCATTTACAAATTAAATACTTTCACTGCATCCATTACACACAAACATATTAATATTCTTGAAAACATAAAAAATCTGACTGGCATGTATATTTTCTGCATTTACCACTTAATAAAAAAAAAGATTTGCAAAAAAAAAAAGGTACAAATTGACATTAGCAAAGAACAATTGAAAGGATTCTTCTCATTTAGACTTTGAGGAGATAGAGTATTCAAAGTAAAGATCCAATGAGCTTCCCTGCAAAGTAATTCATTGTCCCTGTCATCACCTCTCCTTAAAGGGGGGACATGATCAATCCCTATAAATTTAAGGGAAGGTTGTTGGTGTCCTGTCTCAAAACAAATGTCTAGCCACTGGTGAGGCATTCTTGGGATCCTTATTGCCATTCCTGATGGAAGACCTGTGGTTATGAAATCTCTCCCTGAGGTCATTTTTCGTTTTACCCATATTCACAAGTCCACATGTATCCAATAAACCACAAACTCTGTAGTGCAAGTGATATAGTGACGTACCATCCAGAATGGGTTCTATTTCTCAGACATCTGTAAAATCCAGTGTGTATAAAAGCATTAGATATGTTGCACTGATAGATTTGATCAAGCTATTTTGTAGGTTACATAATAACATAGTCTGAAAAGAGGCTTGTGTCCATCAAGTTCAGCCTTCCTCACATTTGTTTTTTGCTGTTGATCCAAAAGAAGGCAAACACACCCAGTGTGAAGCACTTCCAATTTTACAACTAACTAGGAAAAAAATCAGAGTTTGAATCAGGAGTCAAGCGCAGCGAGGGAAAAAAGATGAGTAAATCACCTTTTTTTTAGCCCTAGCAGCGCTGGCCCTTAATGGTTACAGCATTAAAAAACGTTATTTGCTAACGCTGTATTGTTAGTTTGATTTCTTTCTGGTCAGGCGTGTAGTTTTCTGCAGTTTTTTTTCTGACAGGTCATTAATTAGGGGCCTCATTTTGAGTATCCTGTCATAAAAGGGGTAATATGCCCTGAGCACACTGTGCCCTGTCACTGAAATGGAGGATCCCATAAAAAGCAGGATAGTTAGTATGCAGCCTTCAGGTTACATTTAGAAGTGCCCAGTGTTCCTTTAGACCATGGGTCGTCAACCTGTTCCCTACCGCCCACTAATGGGCGTTTCAGGATTCCAGGTGGGCGGTAGGGATTTTCTCATTTGGAGAGATTGGGTGGGCGGGCAGGTGCGAGCCGGCGGTACCCCTGCAACCGGGTACCGCTATCACCATTTGCGGTCCCGGCCCGGGCGACAAACCGCCGGGGCCGCCGTCCAAGGGGTCCATCGGATGGCCCATGCTGTCAGAGCCACCCGATGGATGTCGATTGTGAGGGGGCCCGGTCAGCGCTGGGCGCTTTAACAGCGCGACCAGGCCCCCTGTGATTACATCACAGAGCTGGAAGGAAGTGACTGCATGTCACTCCTCCCAGCTAACACACAGACCGCGTGGGAGGAAGACCAGGGAGTCAGAGTGGGAACTCTGACTCCCATCCACCTGAGCCACCACTGGACCCCAGGGAAAGTCACCCTCCTCCACCTTAAAGGTAGGAAACAGGAGGGTGACTTAAATATAATGTGTGTGTTTGTTTGTTTGTGTGTGTGTGTCTTTGTATGTATGTCTTATGTGCATCTGTATGTGTGTGTATGTGTCTTTGTATGTATGTGTGTCTTATGTATGTGTCTTTGTATGTATGTCTTGTGTGTGTGTGTATGTGTGTCTTATCTCTGTATGTATGTGTTGTGTGTCTTGTCTTTGTATGTATGTCTTGTGTGTGTGTATGTGTGTTTTGTCTTTGTATGTATGTATGTGTTGTTTCTTGTCTTTGTATGTATGTGTTGTGTGTGTATGTGTCTTTGTATGTATGTGTGTCTTATGTATGTGTGTCTTGTTTCTGTGTGTATGTGTGTGTCTTTGTATGTATGTTTGTATGTATGTGTCGTGTGTATGTGTGCCTGTCTGTTTGTGTGTGTGTCTGTCTGTGTGTCTGTATGTATGTGTGTGCCTGTCTGTTTGTATGTATGTGTCTTTGTATGTGTGTCTTGTGTGTGTGTCTTGTATGTGTGCCTGTCTGTTATAGTGGGCCTTTGTAAGTGGGCTACCTAGCTCAGCCTTCCTACTAGGCATTGCTATAAGTAAGTTTAAAAAATAGAAAAAAGGGGGGGGAAAAAGGTGGGGAGGGGAATTGAGGAGGAAGAGGAGGGGAGCTGACGCACAGATGAGAAATCATATTATGCGCAAACAGAAAAGTCGTCTGAATGTCACCGAAAAAGGAGACCTTCGTTTGTTCCTTACGAAAATCGAACCAGATATCAAATATTTAGTCTCGCAGCATCAACCTCAAGGATCTCATTAATCACTAGTAAAGGTAATTTAAATTTACTTTATTGTTTTCTCATTAAACTTTATAAAGTTAAAAACATTATAAACATGCATAAAGTAGAAATAAAAAGATAAATGTACGTACATTTATTTTTTTTTAAACGCCCTCCATTCTAAAAAAATATACTGCACTTGCACGACAACTGGTGGGCGGTAAGGAAATTTTTCCATCAAGAAAGATGCATTAGTGGGCGGTAGGTAGAAAAAGGTTGACTACCACTGGTTTAGACACAGTGGGGCATTATGAGCACCACTTTGTAGATGGTTCTATGCTGGGGCAGTAGATATGGGTGTAGACTCCCAAGGACTCCTTTCTTATAAATAAATAACGGAGTTGCAACACCAATATTTTATTAGAGGAGTTGTTTCTCAAGTCTGAGTGGATTAATGCACATACAGCTTAAATACCCAATAACTGAACCCGATTGAGATGGACACCCCAAGGTGGAATTACATGATGGCATTTTTGAATTAACTTTAGATGTACAAAGGCACCGTGATCAAAAGTGCAATAGTACAAAAAAAAGTAAATAAATAAAAAATACCAGTTACAAAATTAAATTACTCCTGTGGTTGCTCCACCTTTTTTCAAATGCCTTTCATTGTAGTGGTTTTACGCTGCCTAACTGATTTTTGCGGTGCCTACTACCACTGGTACCTCTGTGAATGCACTGTGTTTCTTTTCCACACTGAAGGGCGGCCACTCTCCCTACAGAATGGATGTGTGTATTGATACAAGCACTGGAAGGCAGGTACTATGCAAGCATGTGACTCACATGGTGCAGGAGAATGGTTATCAGGGGTGGCTGCTGCACAGTTCTGATTCCTCTTACTTTCCTCATCGTTTCCTGTGTGCTAGGAGGAAGTACTCTGATGTCACTTCCACCCAGCACCACTCCTAAGTAAGGGGGCCCCACAAGAAATCTTCAACATTATCTGGTTGTGGGGGTATACTTTTTCCTGACTAGACCTCGGCAATGCACTTCTGCTTGAGCATGACCACTACTGGAGTAATGCCTGTACTCCCTGATGGTGACCTTGTTTATGTATGTGCAAGCTAGCCATTTCATCCTATCTTTAAAACTAGTGTTTTTCTTTCACTTGCTTTGTGGTTGATTCCTTATCTTTGCATTATCTGTGTGTCTCCTACAGGAAAGGATAAAGTAATTGTGGTTATTGATGACATGAAGGTCACTAGCACTAAAGAGAAGGACAGGATCCTGAAGAGCCAGCCCAGCATCGGGACACTGACCAAAGAACTATTCCTCTTTGATGAGAACAAAAATAATTTATCTAAACAAGTGACATGTTTGAAGACAATTCTGGGTGAGAAACTCATCGCAAACACTGAAGCACTTTTGTAATATTTAAACTAGTGTTACCCTATGATTTCCTTTTCTTGGTTTTTATTGTCTCTGCATGAATGTATTAAGGGGTAAATGTAGCCATTTTATTAATCAAATAAAAGTGTAAATCCTTCTCCAACTTACAATACAACTCAGATTAGAGAAAGATGGCAGGCTTATTTAAGAGCATATTTAATAAATACTCAGCACCTAGAGCAGTTAGAAGCATCAAAATGCATATAATTACATAGTTACATAGTTACATAGGCTGAAAAAAAGACATGTCTTCATCAAGTTCAGCCTTCCTTGTTTTTTGCTGTTGATCCAAAAAATAAAAAAACAAATCCCTCTTGACCACAGAATGGCAGATCAGATTTACCCTTGGATCAAGAAGCTATTACCCTACAGTTGAAAAAGTATATCCTTGAATATTATGCTTTTGCAAGTATTTGTCCAATTGCTATGTATGGACTCCTCTTCAGGCAGAGAATTCCACATCCTTATTGTCCTTACTGTACAAAAAAACAACTTTCCTTTGCCTTAGACTAAATCTCCTTTCTTCCAGTCTAAATGCGTGAACTTGTGTCCCATGTATAGTCCTGTTTATGAATAGATTTCCAGATAATGGTTCGTATTAGCCCTGGGTATATTTGTATATATTGTATATGTTAATCCCTTTGAGGTGCGTTTTTTTCCACGCTAAAGAGATTTAAATGTGTTAACTTTTCTTCATAACTAAAATGTTCTATTCCTTTTATTAATTTTGTATCCCGTCTCTGCACTTTTTCTAGTGCCATGATATCTTTCTTTAGAATGGGTGCCGAAAATTGCATAGGATATTCAAGGTGTGGTCTTACCAGCGATTTATAAAGAGGCAAAATTATATTTTCATCCCAAGAATTAATGCCCCTATTTATACATGGCAAAACCTTACTGGCCTTAGCAACTGCAGATTGACATTGCACATTGTTGCCTAGTTTGTTGTCTATGCACCCTTGACAAAGGCACTTTTGCCTAAACATTGGTCTTAGTTTTAAGTCTTTTTTGCTTTGTCATCCCTCTCCTTCATTATCATTTTGATTAATCTGGTTTCTGAGTCTTGCTGCTAAGGGTATCCCTTTCCCTCCTCAGGATGTCCATCAGCGCTGTCTTTGGTGATATAGCTTGTATAGTGTGATATAGCTCTTTCCTCCAGACATTAGCCGAGACTTAATGATGGGAGGCCACAGTACTTTATTTACATTAACTTCCTTTAGCTGCTGTAGCACCTTATCTTGAGCCATCCAATCACAATTTATCTGCAAGTTTTTTTGCAGCAATAATTTGCATATTTCTTGCCATTGGATCCTCGTTATTTAAATTGTCTGCCTATTAAGGGCCTTCATTAACTAACACACCCATCTCTGTTTTCACTGCACCTACACTTTAATTTTTTTATTTTTTTTTAGAATTACTGTGCTTACAATCATTTGTTGGGTTGGTTTAGCTCTCTTTGGCTATCAATTTCTCATTTTCTAGTTTAGCCACTCTGGTCGCCTTTTTGCAATCATTATTGGCTTCCTTATATCTTATATAAGATGCCTCTGATATGTCTGATTTAGATGTCCTTTTCTTATTGTTAATCTCTTTTTTTTTCATTTTGGTTTGTTTCTTTTATATTTATTACCCAGTGGTACATACTGAGAAATGTACCTTTCTAATATTTGTTTGAAGATATTCCAATGTATCCTCAGTAGTTTTTTTCACTGAAGAGTTTATGCCAGTCAATATATTGTAAAGCTGCCCTTAACTTATTGAAATTTGCCTTTTTAAATTATATGTTGTACCCCATATGCTTTTGCATGATCTACCAAGCAATACAATTTTTTTTACAAATCATAAATTGAACTGTTTACAAAAGTCAGAAAAGAGAAAAATCCTATATAATAAGACTATCATATAGATTCAATAGAGCCAGAAAAGTTTTTATTGGCATTGCAGTAAAGATGCTGCAGAAATTCTATTCAATAGCTGATGTAACTTTGCTTCTACACAACTTAGTAAAGGGTCCAGACCTGACTGAAAGTCATAGTAAATCATGGAAACTGCATGCGCAAATAAAGAGACAAACAGCCCAGCAAGATTGGTGGCACATGATTAGGAAGACCAATCGACCTCATAAGTCTCATCAATTCTCAGTAAAAACTGGAGGGTGGTATCCAGTGATAATACGCTCCCCAAGATTTTTAAAGAGCCTCCACTGGTATGTTACAAAAGGAATAAAAACTTTAATGAATTACTTGTCCAAACATATCCACTAAATAGTAAATAGTTGCACACAAAAATCAGGAGTGCAGACCCATGGATCAGTACGGTGCCTGGGATGTGTCATTTGTGGACACATGGTGCCTGCGAGAACTTTTAACTACCCCCAAAAAATGTTTTTTTGCACATAATGCACACTATCACGTGTAAAACTTCACATGTCATGTATACACTCACGTGCCCTTGCTGTGTCTAATACATTGGGAAAACTGAGACTCTAATGTGAACGTATTAAGGAACATCAGTTCAGCATTAGACTGGATTACCGGGATGTATCCTCTGAGAAGCCAGTGGCTAAGCATTTTCTGGAACTACAGCATCCATTGACCACAATGAAGTTTGTTGGTATAGACCATAATCCTGTACAATAGAGTGCGATTGACTGAGGCAAGATGTACCTGAATAAGGAGGCACAATGGCCTTGTTGTAGATATCTGTAGATTCATCAACCTGGAGTGCATACCACAGTGATGTATTAATCCTCTCCAACAATTGTGCCTCAATGTCTTCGACTATTTCCTCAATGCGCCTAGTCACAGTGCTAGCTGACAAAGGCACATGTGCTACCTTTTCCACAGCAGCCTCTCCTAGAAGTTCACAGCAAATGTCTTTAGTGGAGGGCAAGATCAATTTTATCACATGACAGGAGGCTTCGTATTTTGCATAATCTTTCTTTACTATCTCCATAGCAGCAAAGAAATGAGTGACAAAACTTTTAACCAATCACAACGTAGAATAGGGTATAAGAGGTGAGACCTATGACATCATTTCCTCTTTCTTTGCTGCTCCATCACAAGTTAAGTACCAAATTTTGTATTATCTATTCTACATACACTTTTCATTTACATGCCTTTTGTTTTCACTGTACCTTTATATATTTACCCTATTAATGCTCTTAACCCCTGTATACCAGGGGACCCTGTCTGGCTCCCTAACTGTCTTTCACGGCTTTCCCGCCGTCTGTACTTTCCCTCCATTTTCTCTGTTTCTCTTTAACAGTTTTTCTGTTCTTTTTACCGAACGCGTTATTCGGTAGTTTTGCGCATTCGCCTGTTTTATTCGAATGCCCGCGCGACCGCACATTGACTATTCGTTTCTAACTACCGAACGCTTCGTTCGGCAGTTTGACGCGATCGCCTTTTTAAACGTTCGCATCTATTTCTATTCGCACGTTCGGCAGTTCGCATAGATCTTCTATTCACGTTCGGCAGTTTTATGCGAATGGCAAGCTTACAGTTTGCCGCCCAAACTGGGGGAGGTACTATTCTCCACACACTGAGCCTGTCAGTCCGGCGGCCATCTTAAAGAGATAGACACTGCCTGATTTTTCTGCTCCTGCTATTCCAACAAGCAATTGAAAAGCCTTACCATTTTCACTCAGTGGGACCAGGTTAGTGCCTTACACTTGGGGTTGGTTTAGCCAGTTGGTCTGCACCTTATTCTGGCCGGGGTGAGCCCCCATTTTATGCTGCTAAACGGTCCTGTTTATGCAGGTTCCGATCACCTGGGTGAGCCCCAGTGAATCAGCCCTCTCCTCTACGACCTACCGGTCTCTAACCACAGGTTATTTAGTCCTGATACCATACCACCCCGGTCCCCAGGCCTCTCCATTAATCGTGCCTAGTGCCCTCACGCAATTTACCGGGTGAGCCCCGAATCCTCACTCCTCATAATGGAGGAATCACAAACCCCAGACCTCCAGGCCATGATAACAGCAGCCGTGGCTGCAGCCATGGAACAAGCCGCTTCCAAGTCGCTCCAAACAAACCCTGAGGTTCCCAGGCCCACCTCTAAACGGGTTCATTATAAGGCGGACTCCGAAGACTCTGACTCTTCCAGGGAACACTCCCAACGGCGAAAACGCCATTGGAAGGGCAATGTAACCCCACGCAAGGCTAAAGGGAAAGCCCCTGCTGATCGCAGGAAAGCCACGGTTCGTGCTACCCACGATGCCACACAACTTTCCTCAGGTGAGGAAGATGTAGAACCCACTCAGGCACTAGCTGTGCTGGATGAATGGCAGGCGGCAGCCTCTGACCAGGGGGACTCCGACAGGGATTCCACGGCCAACTCTGACCCTTACTTCATAAGGGAACAGGGTCTGGGTGAGCCCCAGAACTCCATGGCAACATCCATTGATAACCCACAGGAGGGCTCGGAGATTTTCCTCGACAATTCGGGCCTCCAAATGTTCGACCCAAGAAACATCCGGCACCCCCGTTCGGAAGAATGGTCACCACCTGAGCATTTGGCAAGGTTTATGCACTTCTGGCTCAGAAAACCGCTAGACAAGGAAGTAAGAAACCGGATGAGATCCGAATGCCCTCGCCCTAGTCTACCGGACAAAGTGACGCACACCCCCGAGTTTGACCCGCTCATGACTACGTTCATGTCCCGAGGGGGTCGGGATCCGCGCAAGGGCATAGAGCGCGGCTTTAAAGGAGCGCAAGATAAGCTGCTAGATGCCATTGGGCCACTAGCCAGAATTATGGATATGGCGGATGAAGCCTATGAGAGGGCTGACACTTTTACCCCAGATACGGTGCGTGAATGGGCACGAGATACCCGTGAATGGGCACAAAGGTGTTTCTGTTTCTTAGGGAACACCAACGTAGCCCTCTCTTCGGAGAGGCGCCGAGCAGCACTTTACCGTATCGACGAAAAACTGGTCGAACTGGGGGATAAGGAATTAGGACCCTTAGCACAGGGTAAATTATTTGGAGAGGCCTTCCTTAAGGAATTAAATAAAAGGGTCAACATATTCACGTCCCTTAACAAGGCACAATCTTCAATGCGGAAAGTCTTCCGCGGTTCCCACACCCGTGGTGTTTTTGGAAGGGCTGGACGGCAGAGGGGCCGTGCCGCCAGCCGTTTTTGGCCATCCGGCCCCCGTACAACAAGGACTCAGATGTTCTACCCAGACTCATCTAGTCGAAATAGATTCGGCCACTTCAGGGGATCTGATCGTGGCCGAGGCACCCGAGGACGCTCACGAGCAAGATTCTCCAACGGTAAGTCGGAATCTTACTCTTCCTCTAACCCCCTGTCATATCGCAGGTCGTGTTTCTCTTTTTTTTTCCAGAACTGGAAAGAACTATCTTCAGATGCGTGGATAATCCAAATGGTGCAGGGCTATCGAATAGAGTTCGACTCGACCCCGCTCCAGCTGACCCCTCCACGTCCAATCCAGACTACACGAGCAGATGCCTGCCTCATAGACGCGGAACTCCGAGAACTCCGCTCCAAGGGTGCCATTCAACCGGCTCCGGATGCCACCGGTTTCTACAGCAATATCTTCCTGGTCAGGAAGAAAACAGGCGAATTTCGCCCCGTTATCAATCTCAGGGAGCTCAATTCGCACGTAGTATATCGACACTTCAAAATGGAAGGTATACATCTCCTCCGGGACTTGCTTCGACGCGACGACTGGTTCACTCGTCTGGACCTCAAAGATGCGTACCTTACCATTCCGGTACACAGAAGCAGCCGTCCCTACCTCCGCTTCTTCTGGCACGGGATCCCTTGGCAGTTCACCTGTCTCCCGTTTGGCCTCAGCTCGGCCCCGTGGTGTTTTACCAAGATTATGAAGCCGGTAGTGGCAAAAATCAGATCCCAAGGTATAAGATGCATCATCTACCTCGACGATATCCTGATCTTCGACGAGGATGCAGACACTTTGCGGAGACATACGGCATATGCACTACACCTTTTGGACTCTCTGGGTTTCGTCGTCAACCATCCCAAGTCCGCATTGACCCCGGCTCAATCAGTTCAATTCCTCGGATTCGTAATAGACTCCACATCATGCACTCTTCACCTCCCGGCTACCAAAATTACGGCAATCCGCAGGGAGATCCGGAAAGTCCTTCGTCGGACTACCATACCCCTACGATTACTGGCACGGATCGTAGGCCTTCTCTCCGCGTCCATCCAGGCCATTTTTCCCGGGCCCCTGCACTACAGGGCCATGCAACGCCTCAAGGCAAGTTTCCTTCGCAGACAACCGACATACGACCAACCGGTTCCAATGTCGGTCGAAGTTCGGGAAGAACTACACTGGTGGCTGAATTGCATGCAGGCTTGGAATGGCAGGGCCATATTCGGGAACCAGCCAGACTTCGTGCTGGAATCGGATGCCAGCCGTTCAGGCTGGGGGGCAACAGACGGAACCACGTCCACAGGAGGAGTCTGGACTTCCGAAGAGCTCTCGATGCACATAAATTGCCTGGAACTCTTGGCCGGGTCCTTCGCCATTCGCAGCCTGGCAAAGGACCGATCCAACTGCTGCATCCTACTCCGCATGGACAACGTCTCAGCGGTCAGATACATCAACCGCCTTGGAGGCACTCGTTCTCGAACACTGGCAGATCTCACGAAAGAGATCTTCGACTACTGCCTACCACGCAACATCACCTTGCTGGCAGAGCACTTACCAGGAGACTCCAATACGACGGCGGATTGGTACTCACGCCACTGGCGGGACGCCAGCGATTGGCAGCTAGACCCTCACATTTTCGCACTACTGGATGCACAGAGGGGACCTCTCTACCTAGACCTTTTCGCGTCCCGCAACAATCGACAGACAGAAGTTTTCTTCAGCTGGCTCCCAGACCCGGAGAGCCTCGCAACGGACGCTTTTCTCCAACAATGGCCAAGGGACGGCGCCTACGCATTCCCTCCTTTCGCAATGATAACGAGGGTCCTTCACCGGATCCGTCTACAGGGAGTGAGAATAATTCTCATCACGCCGCTCTGGCAGAGCCAGCCATGGTTTTCGGACCTTCTGGAACTCTCAATCAACGACCCCCTCCTCCTACCAGATGCCCCAACCATCCTCAGGAATCCATTGGGCCTTCCTCACCCACTAGTCCTGCAGGAACGCTTGCCCCTTGTGGCCTGGACTCTTTCCGGGGTTCCTGGAGAACCGAAGAATTATCGCAGGAAACTAAGGACCTGCTATGGGATTCATGGGCACCAGGAACTAGGAGGTGCTACTTATCAGCATGGCACTCCTGGACAAGTTGGTGTGTGGGACGGGACCTCAATCCCTTTACTGCACCTACTCACTCCATCATGAATTTCTTAACTTCACTTTTCACCGCAGGAAAGTCATACCGTTCCATCAATGTGGTACGGTCAGCCATCTCAGCGGCTCATACTCCGATACAGGGGATTCCTGTTGGTAAGGACCCGCTCATCTGCAGACTTCTCCGCGGTATGCGCCTACGGCGCCCCCCGGAACCTAAATATTCTAGTCTCTGGGACGTTGGCGTGGTCCTTCAATTTTTACGTAATTGGCCTCCCAACGAGAAACTATCACTCCGCCAGCTTACCGCAAAATTCACCCTCCTGCTCTGTCTGGTTTCCTTTCGACGGGTAGCGGACGTACGCGCCTTTGATGCCAACGCGTTTACTTTCTGTCCAGCGGGTGTCACCTTTCAGATCTCACGTCGCACTAAGTCCAACTCTCTCTCGGCCTTCTACCCTTTCTTCCCTTCTGACCCTCAACTCTGCGTGGTCTCAACCCTCCGTCACTACGTGGAAGCCACCGCGACGTTGCGGCAACCTTCCACTCATCAACTTCTCATCTCTTACGTCCGCCCTTATGGTCCGGTCTCGGTTACTACACTGGCCAGATGGGTTAGGTGGCTACTATCCCTTGCCGGTATTGACCAAACCTTTGGAGCACACTCCGTTCGTGGGGCAGCGGCCTCTTCCGATTATGCGGCAGGCGCTTCCCTCTCGGACATTTTACGAGCAGCGGACTGGACCAGAGAATCTACCTTTAGGACATTCTACTTTCGTCCTCTTGATAATCCGGCATTTGCTTTTCTTTCTCAGCGTTGAAATTGCAAAATACGAAGCCTCCTGTCATGTGATAAAATTGAAGATTATGCTAGCTTTAGTGTACAGATAATCTTAATTTTAATAATGACAGGAGGCGAGTATTTTCCCTCCCTGTTCTCTTTCGTTCTTCCCTCCCTTTTATTTTCACTTCTACCTACTACACTTTGCTCTCTCATATGTTGGTATAATACCTGACACGATAGCTCTTGTTTAACTGCCTTATTTACATCATAGAGATATATATATATTGTTTGGGTGGGATACTTATTTAACACCGCTAGGGAGGACGTTTAGTTAATTTTATTCTCATGTTACTAGACGTTATTAAAGTTGAATTACGGGACAGACATCCTTTGTTTTATACAATCACTTCTGGACACTAACGCACCTTATACTCTCGTTTCAGCTTAACCAGGAGCTACACGGAATCATTAAAGTCTCCATGCAAGATGTCATCATCATCGCATCAGGAGATTCATCATCAGGTCTTCGTAGACCATCGTTTGACAAGGACACGTCTTCATCTGCATTCTACCTGTTCCGGTTCAGTTTATTCTGATTAAGTTTCCAGTTTCTTGTTCTATGGACTTCTCAGCTGTTCGGTTATTTTTTCTACTTTTATGGTCTTGTGATGTCGCAAGTTTAAAAGAGGAAATGATGTCATAGGTCTCACCTCTTATACCCTATTCTACGTTGTGATTGGTTAAAAGTTTTGTCACTCATTTCTTTGCTGCTATGGAGATAGTAAAGAAAGATTATGCAAAATACTCGCCTCCTGTCATTATTAAAATTAAGATTATCTGTACACTAAAGCTAGCATAATCTTCAATTCTTCACCGATAGTAAATGGCTTTTTAGCCTTAGCAATGCTGTTAGCCACCAAATATGATGCTCTCAGTGCATTCTCCCTTATTGATGTGGTGGCCTTCATAAATTTCTTCTGTGCTTCGTGCTCCCGTTTTTTTCTTTCAAAATACCCCAGGGGCTTGTCTTTTATGCCAGGGTGCTTGGCGGTCAAGTGGCGAAGCAGTTTTGAAGGTTTCATTGCCTCATTAGAGAGCTTCTCGCCGCAAACTATGCAGAGCGGTTTTGGTGCGTGGGAATCACCTGTCCCGATAAATCCATATTTCAAATAGGACTCATGGTATTGTCTGTTAAAAGTTGCATGTTTCTTTGATGGTGAAGGCTCTTCTTCTGTCTGTTCACTGGGCCTTTTTTTCTTCCCAAGGAAACTTTCTAATGATGTCTGTTTCATACTCATTTTTGCTAATTTGTGGGTTAAAGCAGACACAATAACACGTCAGTACACACATGAGTACCGGTGAACAGATAGAAGAGCTAGAAGAGCTAGAAGATACCTTCTTTTTCTCTTCACTCCATGCTGCTTGCAGCCGCTCAGCTCCAGACGTCACCTAAATCCGAATGTAAATCCAAAAACTATCAGCGCAAAAATGTGATCAGTGTTATAAATATATGACCAGTGTATCAAAAAAACATATAAATATTAATATAAAGTGAAAAAATCAGATAAAGTGCACAAATCCGGCAGCATACACTTAACTGTGCTCACACCTCACAATCGGAAACAAAAAAAACATAAAATAGTGTTGCGCCAGATAAAATAACTGTGAAATAAATATAAATCACAAAAGATGACTGTGCCCCCTTTCAATGCAGAGATGTATGATGCAAAAACCACTAGGTAGGGGACATGAAATACACACTGTGATTCCCTTCACCCACCACTGTCACCCACTTCCTCTGTGCACTTACCTCACGGCAGCTTCTCTTCAGTCCCCGCGTCTCCGACCTCGAGTCCTCAGTCCTCCCGCGGCGCCTCCTCCTCGGCCAATGGCGTGGGGTTTGCCTTTTGGCCAATCAGGAAGCGGGCGGTTCCTATGGGAACACTGTTTTAGGGCACTTTCTGCCTGGGAAACAAACATCAATTTTTCTGGCCGCTGCTACAGCAGGTGCAACAATACCTAATTTTTCAGGCATGTGTACATACCTAATTTTTCGGGCCTCTGGTGCTGCACTGTGGCTTTAAAAACCAAACCAAAAAAAAGGCACATAACAGGGATTAAACTGATAAGAATAGTACTACTTAACACACCTTATAATAACGCAGAGAGAGGCAACGCAGAGAGAGGAGTCTGAAGAAGAGGAGTCAGAGGTGGCTTTGAGGAGGTGGAAGACCAAACACAGCAGGCGTCCCAGGGGGCTTGTTGTCTCCTTTCGGGGACCCTTGGTGTTGTACGTGGCTGGGTGGAGGAAGAGACCTTCAATGACATCAGTGAGGACAAGGAACGGTACATGGCTAGCATGGTATCCAACCTTGTGCAAATGGGGAGTTTGCGGTTGTGCAAATGGACTGTTTGCGGTTGTTTGCGATGCGTTAAACGGGGAGTTTGGTCTGTCACTGTGAAGCGGGCGTAACCCTTACACTACCTGATCGATACAACATCGTATAGTAGGTCCCCCCCCCATTGTCCCCTTACTCTCACTCTCCTAGTGTTCCCTCCCTCCCCTTTCCCTTCTTTATCTTTGTGTTTACATTCATTTGTTTAGTGAATTAACACCTAATATCTTGATATGTGTTGATATGGTGAATCTATATTTATAATCATTAAAAGTTAATTGACATTAATCTGTGAAAAGAAGAAGAAAGAGGGGGAAACAAAGAAGAGAGAACACTACGGAGTTCCCTTGATTTCTTCTTTACTCCTCTTCGCTTGAATACTCAACCATTCCCTTGCCGCGTCATAAGTCTTTGCCAATCGTTGTAGTGCAGGATCTGAAGCGAAGATGGGTATCGCCATCTGAATTTTAAGCTGTATTTTGTCAGAGTGTGAAAGATTGGAGAAAATGATCTTCTTTTGATTCTTGTGTTATCTGAAAAATCTAGAAAAGGGCAAATATATACTTACATTTTTCTTCAGTAAGTTTCTTCTTTTTTAGTGTTGATAGAATAAGGTTCTTAAATTCATACGAATGAAATGCAACAATGACATCTCTTGGGAAATTATTTTTCACATTGGGAGATTTATAGATTCTGTGACAACGTTCCATTTTAGTGTCATGAGAGTCTATTGAGAGATTCAAGGCCGTATAGAATTTGCTCAAGAAATCTCTTAGTTTATCGTCTGCTATATTTTCTGGGATATTTCTAAATCTTAAGTCAGATATTTTCTCTTCCAAAGATAGCATTTTTGCCTCCATCTTGTTGTATGCTACTTTAAGTGTTAGGAGCTGAAATTCCAAAATTTCTTCTTTCTATACTATGCTTTGGATTCGAGTTAAGACCTTAGAAATATCACTTTAAAGGTCTGTGGAATTATCTTTGATTTCTTTTTTTTATTTATTTAAGGGTATTATCCAAAAGAGTAATATTGTTTGAGTCTGAAGAAATGGGTGCTATGTGCTTCATTTATCTCCTGGTTCGCTTGAGAAGAGAAAGAAGTTGATAATCTCTTTTCTTGTTTGGTAGCTTTTTTATCGTTTTTGCTATTCATTTTAGGATCCTGGGAGTGTTTAATTGTCTTTATCTCTTTAATATTTACTCAATAAGAAAAAAGACATTGGAGAGAGGCAAGGAAGGGGGGTGATTCACTAAATTGTGATAGTTATTTTTCGTTATTTTCTTCCTCCTCTGTCACCTTTTCTCCCCCTCTCTCTCCCCATCTGCAAGTCCTTCCTCCAATTTTCCTATTTCTTCTCCTCTCTCTTCGTCTTTTGTTCAGATGTATATTTTGCTTTGTGTTTTTTTTTTCGTTTACAGTTTTTATAGGAATTTTAATTATTATTCTTGTCTTCCTTAACCAAAATAAAGATTTTGCCGAGTGCCACTTGACAGACCCAGTTAAAATATCATTGGGGTCTTGAAGAATTAGTTATAATCTGTTTTTTAGTTCTTGAATGTTTATTTACCTAAACCAGTTTGTATAGGATTTATTAATATGTGGAGTCCACACAATTCTTTGCCACCTTTTGATTTATTCATTGACAGCATTCAGTTAACCCCTTAAGGACACAGCTTCAGAAGCTGGACATACCCTTAAGGAGACAAGCAATTTATGCATTTTGTGCTGTTTGTGTTCAAATGCAATTTTCATCTCTCTCATTTATTGTAACAACACATATTATATACCGTTTTTTAGACAACAAAAAGGGCTTCAATTTGATGTGACATATACATATATAAATTCTCATTTATTACCAAAATATTGCAAAATAATGTGTGATAAAAACAAAAAATGCGTTTTCCCCAAGTTTTGGCAATAATAATGGGTGCATAATATGTCCAGCTTAGGAAAAGTAATTCAAATTCAATTCATTTATGTGTCTTGATGTACAAAGTACATAATATGTGGAGGATTTAAGTTTATTTTGTAAGTTACAGATCACAAACTACAAGGTCTAAAATAAAATTTCAATGTGAAACAATTTTAGAAGTTGGTATGTTTGTCTTGGAAGTTTAATACCCATTACAGGAAACAAAATTGCCACACAAAAGTATATATTTATATAAAGTAGACATCACAGGCTATTTACCTAAGGTTAGTCTGACACTTTCTGCGCAGTAATTTCAATTTCAAAGTAAAATTGTGTTTTTTCTCTATTTTGGTATATACACATATAACAAGGTTTTTGTAATGTGTATTTCGTAAACCTAGTGTGTGCTATCCCTGCACAGAACCCCATATTCTGTTCAGCTACATCTGCTGAGTACAACGATACCCCCATTGTATACCTTTGCCCCTATTCTGTGAAGCTACAATGCCATTTAGGAGACCATGCTATTTCAGTTTCTATAGTTGGAATTTTCAGAGATGGTCATATGTCTGATTTTGTGGCATTATAGCCATTTGACTGTTCAAACATAACCCCACAAAGGCCTTCCATTTCAGAAAGCAGACACTCCAGGGTATGTTTTTAGGCATATATTATACCTTAACTTGACACCATTTTTTCACCAATTTATTTCAAATTTTGTGGTGAGAAAAAAAAATTACATCTTTTTACATACATGTTGCATTTTCCCTGGGTATTTACACTTACATTTGATAAGTGCCACTGTCATAAATTCCCCCTAAGTATGCTCAGTTACCTCTTCTGAGTAAAACAATAAGCCCAATGTATGACCAGACACTATTTTGTTAAGTTACAGTGCTGTGAAAGAGACGTGACAAGTTCAGGTTTTTAAGTGTGAATTTACATGGAGAGTTTTAATGCGTCCGTATTCTATTTTTAAATATGTTAGCAGGCTATATATTTCAACTATCCCATAAACGCATACTATTTCATAAAGAAGACATCCCAGGGTATTTCAAAAGGCGTATTTTGAACCTTAGTGTGGGATCATTTTTCCGCCAGCTTGTACCAGGTGTAGTGGTAATGAGCATTTTTTCTGCTTTTTTTGACACACAGTGAGTTTGTACTGTGTATTTTGCAAACCTTATGTGTGCTACGGCTTTATAATACTTCCTATCTGGCTCAGCTATGTCGTCTGAGCACAGCAATACCCCCATATGTACCTTTGCCCGGTATATGCAGACATTGAAGGGGCACATTTGAGACACTGCCATGTAAGTTTTTTCAAACTTTACATTTTTACGCTGTGTCCATACCCCACTTAGGAGGTTTTTTTTGTAGGTTCATTATTCCAGCTACCCCATAAAGGCATACCATTTCTTAAAGAAGACACCCTAGGGTATTACAAAAGGCATATTTTGAACCTTAGCGTGAAATCATTTTTCCGCTAGTTTGTACCAAGTGTAGTGGTAACAAGCATTTTTTACTCAATGAGTTTGTAATATATATTTTGCAAACCTTATATGTGCTACAGCAGTATAATACATCATATGTTGCTCTGCTATGTCATCTGAGTACAGCAATACCCCCGTATGTACCTTTACCAGGTATATGACAACATTGAAGGGGCACATTTGAGACACAGCCATTTAAGTTAGAATTTTTACGCTGGGTCCATGCCCCATTTTGGAATTTTTTTAATAGGTTGTGTTTTCCAATTACTTCACAAAGGCATACCATTTCCTAAAGAAGACACCCCAGGGTTTTTCAAAGGGCATATTTGAAACCTTAGCGTGGTATCATTTTTTTCGCTAGCCTGTACCAAGTGTAGAGGTAATACGCATTTTACCCCCTTTTTAAACATTTTTTACATTTTTTTTAAAGTTTTTTTAACTTTTAAAAAGTTTTATTTAGCTTTTAACAACCTATTTTACTATTTTAAAACTTTGTTTAAACTTTTCAAAAGTTTTTTTTTTCACTTTTTATTGATTTTTTTCACTTTTAACCCCTAACTAGCCTAATCGTAAATCCCCCAATTTCCCCACTAACTTCTACCCACCCTAGCTAAATAAATAAATATTTTAAAATATTTAAATGAATTAATTAAATAAATCTAACCCCTGATGATTAAAAAAAAATAAAAGTTAACCCTCAGGGGTTAAAGGA